ACGAGCTAAGAAGAGATGGAAGGTGAATATTATAGAACCTAAAGTTCTGCAAATCGGTAGTTAGAAGATATTGCTAGATGGGTTTGTTCAAGAACCGCCCAGCGAGTTGATTCAAAGGCCTTTTTAATTAATAGGAAAAAAATTTCTTTGCAAAAGACTAATTAACAATGCGACCTTTCAAACTGTTTTTGTTGTTTTTCTGCCCGTTATTATATTTTGTTTGAAGGCACCTGCAAAAGTCTTCAGTGCATATTTCATAGTGCCCAAAATCAACCAGTAAAAACCCAAGCCAAAGTGAACTGGAGCCGTAGAAAAACGGGTAATCCCATTCCCATTCTCTATAAGTATAACGATTACGTCAAGTTGTATCACCAAGCTTGGTTGCGAGAAATAAATTATCAATGTCGAAAAAAACGGTGTTACCTTGCAGTACACCTTACACCCAAGCAGAACACAAGTGAACCTCAAAACTCAAGTGGTTATTTAGAACCTGTATGATACGCACTCACAAAGCGCTTCAAATAATACTTGATTTTGCAAAAAAACCTATACTTCTGGGAAATATGTAGTAAAGCGAAAAAGCAGTGTCATTCCAGCCTCCTTCAGCAGACTTTTAGTGTTTAAAGTTTTGCTACTGTACAAGTCTGGCAAAAGATAAACGGATAGCAAATTGAACCTTTTTCTGGATTAAGGGAAACAAAGAGTAGAGCCACCCTTCAAAAGCTAATTTCTTACATAATGAGTACGGCAAGCTCGAAATTCACTTTCTTCGTCTAAAGTTAAAACTGTGAAACTAAATTTCGCATTCATTTTAAAAATCCGATAATTTCCATATTTATTACTCATTGATAGAAGGCATTTTTTATGATTAAGACGTTTATCGCTAAATCTATGTCCTTTAGTGAAAATCCAACATACAAAATCGCCTAATTTTTGCGGTATTTGCGTTAGAGGCTGTAATTGTTGGGAAGTTTCACGGATACTCTTTTCAGCACTCTCTTCTAAAACTAATTATTCAAAAAGGTTGCTATTTTCAAAGAATTATTTGCATATAGCTTGTAAGACATATGAAAAAGCCTGGTAAAATCAAAGTTCACTGGAAATCGTCTGCATTATCTGTAGCGCTTGTTGACTGTGAGCCCCTTTATAGCTTCTAAGACGAACAGTTACCAAAAATTGCAACCGACGGAAATGCATTATGAGTAAGAAACAAGTGGCATTGAACTTGCGGACAAAGAAAAACGGAAACTACGTAACCTTCTCAAAACGGAAAGAAAAAACATTTTCAACAATATCGAAATACACTGTAGTCTGTCAAAATGATTCAGTGTCTCAGTGCCAAGAAGGCCTTGTTACTAAGCTATGCTGGAAATTGGCTGGAAGATTATTTAGCGAGCCAAGCAAGAAATAAAAAGTACAGGAAATGCTTTATTCACAAACGTAGCAGAAAAAGGGTGGACTGCTACACAAAAAACTGCTTCGATAAATTTTCATGACAGTCTTGAATTCCGATTCTGAATGTAATAAAGCACCTTTTGATTTGCTGCTAAAGTACTGCCCACAAAAATAGCAACTGCTAGAAAATAGCAGCCTGCCCCAAAAATTTCATTGATGCGAGGCTTAAATATTTTTAAATTTTAGATGCAATTCACATTGTGAATAATGATGAATCTCGGTCCCGAAGATGTGCAAAAGGCAGAATAAAAAGCATATGCAAAAAAAGGTTGCACTTTCAGAACTTTATTCATCTAAATCCAGAACCAGAGGTATTCATACGGGTCTTGACTGATGCCCTGGGGGTTGGCGTCCGGAAGCAATGCAGTATTAGCAAATCGAATAGCCCATTAGGCTGCAACATAGTATAGAGATCTGGGAGTGAAGCTTTTATAGCTTGGCTTTTTTCCAACCATGAAATTTTTGGCATTTATTATGTGTAGTGTGCACTGTTGCCGTCGTTGTGTTAAGGTAATGATCACGGTTTTTTTCATCCAGCGTTAGCTGATGGAAACAATGTTTTAGGTTTAGATTCCTTAAATCTCTTAAACGCTGGTACGAAGGTACAGGAGAAATCTGGTGGAAATTTGTAGAATTTTTTTAGGTGGTCATGGTCGGTGATAAAGGTGCATTAGCGAGGTGGTTCTTTTACCACAACTTATTACAACTGCCCAATCAATATTGGGTGAAAAGTCATAATTCTGTGTTTTCTGAGTTTGCCCTCGATTAGGAATTGTTTTTTTTTTTGTTTTAACAAAGGTTTGTGCTTTTTGTTAACTGACATACTTGGTTCTTCGCGTAACTGAGTTTTCGCCGCAGTATTCTTTGTAGTACTTTTATGTTTTAAACAGATTTTCATATTTTACTGACTTATATGGTCCTTTCAAACTTTGAAAGATTTGTTCAGATTATAAATGTGAAATATGCATAGAATCACAACTAATGCATCAGGGTTATGTAATTTACAAGAAAATAAGTTTTGCTTCAAAAAGTAAGCCATGCAAAAACATTGTGACTAAAGTTTTTTCTTCTGTTAACAACGATGAGGTTTTCATTTGTTGGTTTCATGCTTGAAACATTCAATGCGCGACTGGTAGCGGACATTTCGACTCAGAGGATCTGACATTGAAATGGTCCATTATTTTTGAAGTATCAAACACCTGAAACAGGATGTACAAGTGTTTGCTGTGAAATTTACCTTATTCTTTTATGCTTTGCGGTCATTTAAAGAAGAAAAAAGCAGAAGCTTAGGGCATTGTCACTTTTACTTCTATTATACTATATTTATTTCCTTTTTCTGTCGTTTTTAACGTGGCAGTGTTGGTGGTCTTTTCCACATCGCTCTGACCCTTTAATATTTTTCTTCCCGAAGGGAAGGAGAATGTACAGCAACCTTTTGTTAAAAGCAAGAGAACTAGCGGTATTGATTTAGGTTACTAATTATTTAATAGTTACATGAATTTATTACATAGAACATTGATCAGCTCTGTTATTTCGTCCGACCAGTAATTTTTCATCGTTTTTTTGATGTTTTTACAAGTTGTATCATTTTATTTGTATTTTAGTCGGTGTGGGCTTTGTTGATGGGATTTTTTAGAAGTTATAATTGGTATATTCTGGCGATTTTGGCAAAAGCTTTTTTCCTTTCAGCGAAATGAACCTTAATTTTACGGGTCGAAAGAAAAAAATGAGTGAGAAGAAATACAGTATCATAGAGATTAGTTTATTTCGGCCAACCAGAAAGTCTTACCCCGAGTTTGATTACGAAAAGATCTGCAAAGACTATTTGGTAAGTGTCAGTTCTATCTCGTACTGGCTTATTTAGTTTTGCTTCCTTTTTTCGCGTAATGTTTGCTCTTCCTTTCTGATTACTTTTTTGTGTTAAAAAAGGCTCCTAATTGAAGTTGTGTGTATTGTCTATGTTTGCTTAGTTCTGTTATTTTTGTGCAGTTGCCTTATTTTTTTTTTTTTAAGAGGGGTAACGTAGGTTAGCACCTAGTTATTGGTGAAGAAAATAGAATGGTTGTAACTTCGAAAAGTATCAAAGCTACATTTTTTAAAATGATTTCGTTGTGATATTTCCCTTTTATCTTTTGGAACTGCACATAAAGTTAACCATTTTCTTCATTCACATTTTAGGAAGAAGATGATTCAAGTGGCGAGGATGAACGCTTTCATGATCGGGCAGCAGAGGAATTAGTAAAACGACTAAATGAAAAATATGTTTGTATTAACATTCGTTTCATCTTGTAATTTTACGGTGTAAATCGATTTTTTTTTTTTAATGGAGAAAGTCTTTTACAATGAAATAAACCAGCTTCGTACCCCAATGAAGGATTTTATAGTCAAATCTCTCCATTTTATTGATTATATTCGACTGAAATTTTTGTTGATATAGGGAACTAAACGAGATAAGAAAGGACGCAGGTTGAGGTTTGGTGACGCAGACGATTTTATGGATAAGACTGTTGGCTACGATTTGTCTGACCCATTTATTGACGATACAGAAGCGGTATAAATTTTTTATTTAGGTTTTTGTATCGTAAACCAATATTCTTATTGAACTTTTGTGTAATGGCTTTCTTTAAATACATTAGGTATGCATGGTTTTATTAAAGTTGTAAAATAGACCTTTTATTACAAATAACTTTAAATGATTTGAAGTATGACGAACAAGTGCCGTCTACGATGGATACAGCAAAAGGAGGTTTTTATGTCAACAGGGGAAAGTTAGATTTTCGTTTAAAATATGTTGATGATTCATACAGTGAGGATGACGAACCAGAAAGGAAAAAAGCTTCTGAGAAGGTAATAATCAGCATAGTTTGTTTTTAATTTGGCACATCATTAAATGGCCACGAACATCTGTTTTAAGAAACGGGCTGCTAGTGGTGGTGAACCAGAAGATGATGACAGTTCCGCCAGAAATACAACTTCGAAGGTTGTCGATGGGGCAGAGAAGGCCTTGGTCTCTGAAGAGCAAAAGAAGCAGGATTCTACAAAAGCTGTTGATCGTCTTTCCTCAAGTGGGGCACCACCAATGAACAGGCGGGTTGTTAAACAAAATTTAATAAAAAGGCGTCGTTTGATTGGTCAGCCTCCCTCTATGAAGTTGTCGCCATCGCCAACAGTAAAAGCAGCCTTGGGCGTTAAAAGGAAGTTAGTTTTGTGGCGTTTCTATTTACTGTTTTTTCATCATATAAGACAGGTGAATCTTTTGTTTTATTTTCTTTTTTTTATTACATCTTTTGGAATGGTTTTTGTGGAAGCGATTTATGATACAGAACTACAGCCAAATTACTCTATGTAGAAGGATAAGAAAATTTTATCTAGATTTGTATTGTAGATTGAAAAATCCAATGAAGAAAGTTGCTGGAAACATGAACGAGGATGAACTTGATAGTTTTCTGAAGGATATGGTTGGAGGACATGAAATTCCTTTCGATGAAACGATGAGGCAAGCTATAAAAGACTTGAAAAACGACGCGCCAGTGGTAAACTTTCACTTTTGCTTTTTTATACGTATCACCTTTTTGAATACTTTTTATGACTATGCATTTAGGTTTCAAAACCATCTGTAACTGCCTCGCCAACTGCTCTAAGTGTTGATGATCATGAAGTTACCGCCACCACATCTAATGTGATAAGCGGTGAAGATGCAGCAAACGGTTCAAATAAGAGGGGACGACCTCTTGGTTCTGCTGCTGATTTTACTGTTAGCTTAATTGTTTATTTTTTTCTAAAAATTTTTGTTTGTCTTAGATTATCATTCAAGCAATTAGCTTTGTTCATTTAGACCGATAGTATTGTTAGGCATATTTAGGGATGGAATTGTAGTAAATAGTAAAATAGGCGCAAAATATCAAAGTTGCTTCAAAATCGAAGATACTTTTTTGAGAATTTATTCACCACGCAAGTTTTTTAGAGAGCTCTGGTTCTTTCAAAAAAACTGACTGATATGATCGAAACTTACAAGAAGCAAACATCGGAGTTCGGTGCCCCTAATAAGAAAATTCGGCTCCCTCCAAGCCTTGTCGACCTATGCATTAAGTTGTTAATTAGAAGTTTTTTTAGTTTAAGTTTTTATTTAGCTGCTAAATATTTGTTATCAGTCTCACATCACTTTTCCAGAATTGAAGGGCAGTGCAATTCAGACGGGTTGAGTCATGCACAGAAGACGCGTATTTTTGATTCTTTGGCTAACTGGGTTTTAGTGCAGCGTAATTCTTTGTATATTCGAATGAAAATGCAAAGGGAGAAGCGTGAAGTAAGTTTAGTTTTTGTTCGCTTGTCTTAAATAATGGATTTTACTGTCTTGATCAGCGAAGCGGTAAAGGTCTAGGTCTTTTAAAATGGTTGGTTTTGGTTTTTGTGCCACTTGAAAACAGTATGAAGTCTAAATCATTTTATTGTGCCTTTTTGATCTGACAATTTTTTGCTTAATTTTCTCTGTTGGTTTGGTTAGTTTTTATAGAAAAAATTTTTGTCTATTTGAGAATTATTCGTTCTTTGTTTTTGTGCCTCGTAACAGAAACTTTGATATTAGCAGTAAACTAAAAGTGATAAATATCTTTTGATGTAAATAAATGAGATCTAGTTTGTTGTAGTCGTTCGAAGTTTTGGCAGTAGTATTAGATACTTAAAAATTTTTGTGAACATGCCTCTGTAATTTGTTTTGCTGAAATTTCTAGGCTGGTACTACAGGGTCAAGCAGCTCAGGTTTGACTCTGTCTTCTGATTACTCTCCTCCAGCTTGCAACGCGCTCTCTTCTGGTTTATCGGAATCTAAAAAAGCAGCAGAAAGTAATTTGGTATCTTCTGCCAATTCTTCATCCTCTTCTCCTCAGAAACCTTCTGGGAGTTCGCTGGACACAGTGCCGTCGGCTTCGGTATCAAAACCCAGTACCCAAAATAATCCACCAGTTAAGACTTTGGCTCATTCTGGATCTTCTACTAAGTCTGAAGAAGCACATTTGCCAAGGCTAGGGCTAAAAGAAAGTGATCCTGATAAACTAGCTGATGCATCACCTTCAAAGTCTGGACTTCTTAATGGACTGCAGAAAAGTGGAAGTACGGCTGTACATCAACCATCAACAGTCTCTCCAGCAAAAAAAGTGTGCTTTTATTTCATGAATTTTTTAGATTACCTCTGCAAATTGTTTTTTCTTTTGTCACATCTTTTCTACACAGTTTGCTTGGTTCAGTCAGTAATTTTTATAGTGCTTTTTTAGGACTCTTTTGCAACCAGTTCTCAATTGCCGATTCCGCAAGCGCAGTTGCTAAATGCTTTGACGGCAACAAGTAACTCACAAATGCTTGCATTGTTGTCAGCCGTATTACAACAGCAGAGCGCTTCGAGTACTGACTGTCAACAACAGAGGCAGTTAGCAGCTACGTTGGCGACTTTAAAAATGCAATCTGTTCTAGCCGCAAATGTGTGTCAGTCACCTGAGCTTCTTCGTCAGTATCAGATATTGATGAACTCACTTGCGAAGTATGTATATTTGTTGTGAATGCTCTAATAATGTGTAGAAGAAATTTACTGGATTGCTTTTACAGTCTTAACCACTTTTATATTTCTTTAGGTCTTCTGTTCCCACGTCCTCGTTCCAACATTTGAAAAGTCAAACAAACACTTCGTCTTCTCATTCAACTTCTCAGGGAAAGGAAACTTCTGGAGTTCCTCAGGGGTCGTATTCGAAACAAGGAAGCGCTGTTGCCCATTCTTCGAAATTCACTCCTACTAGCACTGTACAGTTACTGCGTGCAAAGCAGGCATGTGTTAATGTGCAAAATAACGCACAGGTTAAGGAATCGGGTACGAATGCTGCCAAAAATTTGCAGAAAATGAAAATTGACAGTATGTTCAAAACCAATAAGGTTAGCAGTTTCTGAAAAATTAGAAGAAAGTAAAGTTTTATTAAAATTTTGTTATGTAAGAAACTAATAAATTATTTTAATGATGCATTATTTTTTAATTTTTATTGGTTTATAGTATGCCTCTGACCGTGTAAATTCATTTTATTTCCAGAACAATGCGACGGGAAAATATGTGAGCAGTGGTTCAAAGAATGTCACTCCTAAATCGTCTTTAGCTGACAACAAGGCGATCTCTTCACCTTCTGCTGTATCTGTTGGTTCTTCGACTCTCATTAATTCAACTGCATCTAAACATTCGAAAGTGCACAGTAGCTCAACTAATAGTTCAGCATCTAAACTCTCTGCAATTGGGGCCTTATCAAATAAACTTCTTAAACAAAGCTCTGATTCAAACCTTATGGGACAAGGAAAAGTTGTTTCTTCTCCTGGTACTAATATGCGTCAAAATAAGGAGGGAAATCAAAGAAGTGTAACTCAGCCAGTAAGGCCAGCGTCCAAGCAAAGTGCTGATTCTTCTGCTTCGAGTCACGTGCGATTTTCTCTCTTTAATCATTGTTATCAAATACCTACTTTTTGTTTCCTCCATGATTTTAATTCATTTTATATTCATTTTTTTAGGGTTCTCAAATAGATAAAACTAAGGCGCTCGAATTAATTAACGTCGCGGCAGACAACTTAAGAATAGGTAATGTTTTTTGAGTTATCAAGCCATCTATTCTTGTTTTGTCTTCTTTTGATTCTTGTTCTCACCTTTCAAGTGTTTCCTTTCCTGTTTCTGGAATTTTTTTGGAAATGTAACAGTATACTTTATAAATCTTTGTACTTTTGAAAATTGGCATGTTTCAGCTATTGAGGAAGCAGTTTTTTCAGCAGATGAAGAGTCGGAGCCACTTAGGAAAAGGTTCTACTTTTATAATGACAATTATTAGTCAACTTTATACTTCAAATTCGCGTTATTTTTTACTCATGGGATGAGATGTTCTTCATACAAACGTCCCCATCTTTTTTCTATTTAGGCCGGCACTTGAAGGCGGGATTCCGGATGAAAAATCATTTCGGTGGACGGACAAATTAAGGTAATGGTTTTTTTTGTCTGATCTCTTCCATGCTTTTGTGGTATGCCTGTTTGTAAACATTTTACGATAATGGTCTGATTTTAGGGCATCTTTAATCGCATTGGTAAACACTTTCTTTGAAAGTTTAAATGGGCATCTTACTCAAGCTGATTTGACGTCCAAATTGGCACAGTACCTGAGTGGGTGCATTTATCCGTTGTTTAAGGGATGCGTTTCTTTTAAGTAAGTGAAAATAAATTTTTCAAAATTTCTTTTCTGTTATTCACATGAATTGCTTTGCTATATGAGAGTTTAATTACTCTTCTAGCAGTTTCGTTATTCTTTGTGAATTCTGGCATCAGTTCCGGTTGTTCCTTTTTTGTTGGTTTGTAAAGTTGATTGAATGCTTTCGGACTCATGTTTTTTTTTTGTGAGTCATTTATAAGTGGAAAAACTAAAGTGTGGGGTTTTGGTTACATTTCTACAGTGTAACATTTCAAGGGATTTTTGCGCTGAACTGGCGAAATTGTTTCCCGATAGTTATTGTTTGTTCGCTTTGCCGGAATTGAAAGAGTGCTCTAAAAAAAGCAAACGTGTTGGGTTAGTTTTTTTTTGAAAATTTCTTGAAGGAAGGTTTATGAACAAACCAATACGCTTTATTTTTTAAAATTTCTGCAATGCTTTTATGTTGTTTATTGGGCCTAATTCTAATTTTCATTTTGTTTTAATTATGTACCCAACGTGTAACATGAAGTGATCAGAGGTTTTAAAAAATTATTGGAATTTTAGCGGATATGATTTCTATCCATATACAAATTGTGGTCGAAGATTACTTACGGTTTATAAGGATTTCGTACATACTCTTAAGAATCACAGAGATTAAGATATTTTTCTCAAATAATAATTTTTTAAACTGTATCAGTTTTTAGTGAATGTGTACCATCCAGTACTCTCCACACTTCACATTCTAAAGGTGTTTCAAAAGCACGTGTTTCAACTAAAGATTCTGCTGGAAAAAGTAGTCGCGCTGCAACTTCTGGAACTCAGAGTAGCTTAATAACAAGCAAACCAAAGCAATCTGTAGCTGCATTAGCCAGTCAGGTTGGTGAGTTGTTATCTTGCGCAGATGGAACGTATTAATTGTAGAAGCAGAACTTTTCTTATTAAAAAGATCTGATTTGTCTTACTGATCTAACAGTCAGTAATGGAAAAAATAACCTGTCTAAGAGTCATTTCTTCCAGTTTGTCAGATTCATTTGAAGAATGTTTAGAAGTTTTCCTATTTTTAGGATGGTCTAAAATTTAAATATCTTAGCAGAGGGCTGCAAACAAGATTTCTATGAGGTTTTTTCTTTAAGGCTTTTATACTGAATAAAAATTTTAAAAAAATTAAAATGCTGTTTACTGATTGTTCCAAACTTTGATGAGGCTAAATTTCCATAGTCTCATAAGGAGCCTGTGTTTGAAGAGGAATTATTATTCATAGAATGAAACTTAAAAATAGTGTTTAGATAAGTAACGTTGAGGCCGTAAAGCATCCTGAAACTCGGGAGAAAGACGACGTTGCCGTTGCATCATATACAGTGGAAAATAAGGCATAGAAATTTAGATTTTTGCCTGTCTAATAAATCTTTTACTTGGTCGGTAATTTGAACAAAAAAAAATTTACAGATTTAAATTTCATCAAATTTAAGTGAGCATCAATAAAACTCGACTTCATGTTGCCGTTTGCTTCCTTTAAAATCTGCGATGTCTAACAAACGTCTATGGATTAACCACTCCTTCGTAATTTTCCGCTATATTATCTTTAGTCGATCTCGTCATACTACTCCTCTGAAAATTTCTGTGTTATCTTCCCAACTTATGGTTTTGTCGGGTGACATTCGTTTTAATGTTATATTTTACGTTCCGAGTGGGTGATGTAGCGGGTTCTATGCTAAGCTGTTGGAGCACTAAATAATGGTGTTCTATACTTTCTTCTTTTACTGCTTTCGTTTCTCGAATTATTTATTATTGTTTGCTTTTTGCTTCTTGCAGGTTTTAATTTATCTTCAAGAAGAAAATTCCGTGTCTCACTTTCCGAAATGACCATATACCTTTTCCTCGTTGATGACCTCATTGTTCTTGCCCCTACTTAATGATTTTCCTGTCAGAGCGGTTGCAAAGTTTACAGTCAATCCCGTTTTATCTATAATATTCAAGTTCAACACACTAGAGCTCTTTTTATATGTTGTAATCTTATTGTGTTGAAATAAAATTTGTTTTTTTGTCTTGCAATTTCTTCATACCGTTATGAAGTAAATATTGCCTCTTTTCGACCACCTTTCTTTTGTTTTTCTTCGTTTCGTCTTTGGTGAAATATTGAGCGAACACGTTATTCTAGGTTTGATTTCACTGACTCAGTTTTCAGTTTGGAGATATAGAGGTCCCTGGTTACCGCAACCCGTCACAGCGTGCGTTAATAGAATAATTCTTTTTAGGCAGAAGATGGTACGCTCTCGGTAAAGCCTGAAGGAGCTTCCACACATCCAAGTGTAGCTTCATCAGCAAACGTTCAAGAGCATGATATTGTATCAAACGCCTCAAAATCTGCTGGTGCAGCTCGGAACCCACAGATCATTGGGAAGCAGGTTTGGGATATTTTGGATGTCTATTTTTTAGGAACGGGTAGCTTCTCTTGGTTTTGTGCTTTAGTTTTTGCACTGGAACTGAGATTATTTATCAAGAGTTCCCAAGTTTTTTTTGGCTCAGTTTTCTAATTATCAGTTCTAGAGGTGGTAATTTAGCGCTTCTCATTACAGCGTTCATTCGTGTATTAATTCCTTTAGGGAGTAAATGACACGCCATTGGCAAAGCCTGAAGAAGCTATCGTAGTTACAAATGTAGCATCATCGACAAACGTTGAGGAGCATAATATTGTATCAAATGTCTCAAAATCTCTTGTTGCAGCTCGGAAACCGCAGAGCGCCAGCAAGCAGGTTTGGAGTACTTTTGACGTCTAAATTGTCCAAAGTTTGAGTTTTGATGCTGCACTCCAGTTATGCACTGAAACTGCAACTGTTTGAGAAAAATTTTGAAGTTAGCGACTCAGTCTTTTAATCTGGCGATGTAAAACTTTCAAATTGGCGTGGCTTACTTTGCTACAAGGTTTACCAATAGACTGAAATTTTAGGCAGCAAATGGCACGCTGTCGGTAAAGCCTGAGGAAGTTCCATGTGTATCTTCTTCGGCAAATGTTCAGGAGCATAATGCTGTATTAAATGTCTCAAAATCTGTTGGCTCGGTCCGGAAACCACAGAGCACTGGCAAGCAGGTTGAAGATATTTTGGATGTCTGGTTTTCAAGAAAAAAAAAGTAGTTTCTTTTGATGGTGCGGTTTGCTTACTGCACTGAAACTGAAAATTTAGAACTTTTTAGCAATCTTATGTATTCATTGTTTTCTATTTAGAGCACTTCGGAAAAGGAAAAGGAAACATGTGCCTTTAACCCAAGGTTGACTCCTGGCCAAAAAATAATTCTTGCTCGTGAGGCTGAGGAAAGAGCACGTTTAGCTGCAAAGGAGGTACAAGATTTTAGTTCTCTATCTGCTTCTCACTCTCTTCTCACATATTTTTTTTATTGGGTATCTAATGACGTTTTTCTGCCTTTTTTTGAGTTTTTATTACGCTTTTTCGTTTTAGAATCGTGGCGGGAATAATCTATTTTTGAAGTTTTTTGGTTTATATACTTTTTTAGAAAGCTGAATTTGAACGCCGAGAACAAGAGAAGGAAATGGAACGTAAGCAACAGGTTCTTATTTTTTTGCTTCTTTTTTATTCTTTTGTGTCTAAGCGCTTCAGTGTTCTGCTATCTTATTAAGCCTCTTACTAGGTGAAGGTGAATTAGTTGGTGTGATTTTATTAGTGTGAGATCATAAACTGTCTCATTCATCCTTATTCTAGACACAAACAACGAATTTACATTATTATGGTACAGACAAAATTTTTTAGTTTATTTTTTTTTTCTCAGTGTAGTATTTAATAGGGGTATCTTATATAACATAGTTTTCTCACATTCTTTCAGGAGGCCAGAGAGAGGGAGGAAGCAGAAAACAGGAAAAGAGACGAAGAAGCTATTATGAAGTGGGAGCTGGAGGCAAGCTTGCTGCATATTTATTTCATTTTCTTACTTTTTTCTCTGCTGTCATGAACGATTTTTCAAGTTTAGGAAGCTGAGCGACTAGAAGAAGCAGCAAAGGAAGAAGAAGCGGAACGTGAAGCAGCTGCTGAGGCTGAAAAAGAAAAATTAGAACGCGAAGTTGTTTTTACTTCAATAATTCTACCTTATTTATTGCTTTTCTTTTAAACGTAGGGTTTTTAAGCCTCTCCGTTTCTCTCTTAAGGGGTGTTTTACGATGCTGTTTTGTGTAAGAGCCTGTAGATCAGTCATTATAAATTGATTTAATTTCTCCGTATTTGAGCTAGTAATTTTGAAGCACAGATTGTCCTTATACTGCTGCAGTTACCAACTCTTATTCTTTTTCTTGCTAAAATTTTTTACCGGCTGTTGATGTGACATTTTTGAAAAGCGTCTAGCAGTTTCATTATGAAATAAACTTTTCTTTTTTTTTTTTTTTTTTTTTTTTTTTTTT